TAGCTCATGTTATGATTGATGCTGGATCTGCTCATTCATTTGTGTCACCACACTTTGGATGCCACTTAAAGGTAGTACTAGAACAATTAGAATACAGTCTAGAGGTAGCCACACTGATGGGAAATTCAAGTGACACCAACATAGTATACAAATCTTGTGTAATGAAGATTGAAGAACAAGAACTGTTGGTTGATTTAATACTCCTAGAAATTCAAGATTTTGATGTAATAATCTTAGGCATGGATTAGCTTTTTGCATATGATGCAAGTATTGATTTTTACAAGAAAATGGTTACTTGTAGTATTCTGAATCAACCGGTATTTTACTTCAAGGGTACAAAGAAGACTCCCCATCATATTTAATCTCCTGTATTTGAGCTAATTGTCTCATTCGAAAACGGTGTCAAGGCTTTCTTGCCTATTTTAAAGAAGATAGGAAGGAAGAGATAAATTTGGATACCACTCCGGTTATCTGAGAATTTCCCAACATTTTCTCTGAAGAATTGCCAAGATTACCGCTTGACAGGGACATTGAATTCTCTATTGAATTATTGCCAGGGTAGCCTCAATTTCTAAGGCACCTGCAGAACTTAAGGAACGTAAACAACAATTGGAAGAATTATTAGATAAAGGTTTTATTAGGCCCAGTGTGTGACCTTGGGGTGCTCCGGTATTGTTTGTTAAAAAGAAAGATGGGACCATGAGATTGTGTATCGATTATAGACAGTTGAACCAAGTGACAGTGAAAAATAAGTATCCATTACCTAAAATTGATGATTTATTTGATCAATTACAAGGATCACAAGTGTTTTAAAAAATTGATCTTAGATCTGGATACCATCAGCTTAAGATTAAAAGTGAAGATGTTCCCAAGACAGCTTTCAGAACATGGTATGGCCATTATGAATTTTTAGTCATGCCTTTTAGATTAACCAATGCACCGGCTGCATTTATAGATTTGATGAATCGGGTCTTTAAGCCCTTTTTGGATAAATTTATTGTGGTATTCATAGATGATATTTTAATTTATTCCAAGAGTTAGAAGGAACATGAGCAACATGTAAGAATGGTATTGCAAATATTAACAGAAAAGAAATTGTATGCCAAACTTAGTAAATGTGAATTTTGGCTTGAACAAGTGACATATTTAGGACATGTCATATCAAAAGAAGGTCTATCAGTTGATCCTTCAAAGGTTGAAGCGGTTGTTAATTGGAAACAATCAAGTAATGTGCTTGAAGTTCGAAGCTTTTTGGGATTGGCAGATATTAGAGAAAATTTGTAGAAGGATTTTCTCGAATCGCAACCCCATTAACTCGATTGATATAGAAAAATGTCAAATTTGAGTGGACAGGTGAATGTGAGGAGAGTTTTCAAGAACTAAAAGTTCGATTAACTTCGGCACTTATTTTAACAATTCCTGAGGGGAGTGGGGGATTTGTGATTTATAGTGATGCTTTACATAAAGGCCTGGGCTGTGTATTAATGTAATATGGGAAGGTAGTGGCATATGCATCCAGACAGTTGAAAAAATATGAGAAAAAATATCCAATTCATGACTTGGAGTTGGCTGCAATAGTATTCACTTTGAAAATGTGGAGGCATTATCTATATGGTGAGCAATTCGAAATATACACGGATCATAAGAGCTTGAAATGCCTCTTCTCTCAAAAGGATTTAAATATGCGGCAGATAAGATGGATGGATTTCTTAAAAGATTATGATTGTACAATCTATTATCATTCAGGAAAAGCTAACTTTGTGGTCGACGCTCTATGTAGAAAATCTACGGGAGTCTTAGCTCATCTAATGATCCAAGAAATGTGATTGTTAGAGGAAATAGTGGATTGACATCCGGTTCCATCCATTAATTGTGTGGTAAGTATAATTGCCAACATTAAGGCAGAACCCAACTAATCCAACAGATTCGAATGGCACAAAAGAAAGACCCTCAGCTTATAACAATTGTAGAAGAGGTGAAGCTGAGAAAGAGAGAAGAATTCTCTATATGTAGTGAGGATTTGCTAAGATTCAAAGGTCGGGTTTGTGTCCCGAATGATGAGAGTGTGAAGAAAGCTATCTTCGAAGAGGCACATCACTCTCGTTATATGATCCATCGTAATTGGATTGTCATACAGAGTTAAGTCCTATTCCTAGTGAGTCTAGATAGTCAGTACCAAACACTAAAATAAAAATGAAATAAAATATAAAGAGGATATTCTGAAGTTGTATCTAGGAGTGCTAGCCAAGTCTTGTCAAAGCCCTTGTTGAAGGGTTATTGTTGTGCAATCAGAGGGAGCAAAGGAAGTTTTAGCAGCCCCATAAGGGAGCGATCTTTTGTCTAGCCCAGTGTTAAAAAAAAAGGATCGGTGACCCGGATCGTCCTCCGCAAAACCTGTTGCGGATCAATGGATCGGCGTGTCGGATCGAAGAATCGGCAAGTTTCGTCCCAAATTTTTTTCAAATAATCACTATAAATCTCTAAAAATGGTGTTCTTTTAGTTTCTAAAAGAAATTAGGAGTGACGCATTATGTACTCTCATTACTTTGTAAAATAGGCGAATACTAGGACGATGTTTTCCTGTCTGGATGTCTGTTAACCATTTATTCATATTCTGTTAACCATTCATTCATCACATTTTTACAAGTATCCTAGTCAAGAATAATTTAATTATGTATCAAAAACATGCATTTTATTGCATTAAAAAAATTGGCAATAAATTTGAAAAATGCCAGGTTTTTTTTCATGATAATTACACATTCATGGCAAAGTTTTTTTTTTCATGATAATTACACATTCATGACATAGAATTTAATATAATTACAAGAAAGTCGAAAAAATATGTATTCTTATACTGAGAGAAACAAGAACATATATTTGTCAAAGTTCTTAATTTTTATTCAGCAAATTATTTTAATTATAAATTATGTATCATGAACATACATACATTTTATTGATCAAGAAAAGTGCATTAAAAAATTTGACGATAAAAATGAAAAATACAAGTTTTTTTCCCATGAGATTATAAATTCATGGCATAGAATTGAATATAATTACAAGAAAATCGAAAAAACTTGTATTCTTATACTGTGTGTATCAAGAACGTATATTTGTCAAAACTCCTAATTTAAAGCACATAGCATTTAAAAAAAAAATCATATTAAAAAAAAAAAATGAAAAATCATGATACTGCTGGATCTGAGAATTGAATCAATCAGGATCAAAACTCATACTTCAATTGGATTTAAATTGAGTTATAATAATTGGAAACCAAGGTTTTTGGGATCGTGTGAAGAACACTATTTCTTGAAAAATCAACAACCAAACCTTTCTTAATCTAAATAATAAGCATTATGATAATATGAAGAACACCATTATCTTCAAAACCCCTATTATATCATTCAAAAGAGTGTCAAAAATCTCCTTAAATCAACAAATTGGCGGAAAAAAAGGAACCCGTGAACTGTTCTTCCAAAAATGGTGCCAGAAAATTGATTCATTGAAAAATCGAGCAACAATAGTTGCTTAATCACACAAAAAAGCTACAAGATCTTCTCAAGAACACAATTTTGAACAAAACCGCTCCTATATCAATCAAAATTTTTGCGAATATTGCCTGAAATCGCAAGAAGGGCGGAAATGTTTTTGTCGTCAACTGTTTTCCAAAAATCTTGCCTGAAAATTGATTTCGTATAATAAAAATGTTGCATATAATCGTTTATAATGCAAAAAAAAGCCTGTAAATGCTCAATAATGTATTGATAAAGCCTGTAAAATGCTCAATAATTCATCCAAAAGGTTGAAACCTGATTTTTTAATCTTTCACTGTTCGTTTGGGGAAACTTGGTGATTTACTGTGTAGAATCAGTGATTCATGATGTCAGTAAAGGCGATTCACGGTGGAGAATTGTCGAATCTCGTTTTTTATGCAAATCTAGGACAGTTCCACCGATACCCAATCCGGATTGAGCGAATCCATATCGGATTGGCATTTTTTGAACACTGGTCTAGCCTATGTTGCACAAGCCAGTGGTAGCGAAGTCTTAGTAAAGCTTTCCTTTAGTAGTTAATTGTTGGGATGCACTCACAAACTTGTGTTATGCAGGTAAAGCTAAGCTATTGTTTGAGAGTGCAAAAGTAAGAAACTCTTCGAAACTTGTGCTTTTGGATTGCGGTCAGACGGCTTGTGTAACGGAGGCTTCAACTAAGGAGTTAGTCACAGTACACATCACTCTCTTCACATAGGTGACTAGTGTTTCCCTCCCCTTCAACAATACCTTGGGCAAGGAAGAATATCACCATGGAGCCATTTGGAGAATAATGTATCCTCAACACGTATAGGCTTTATTTTATATTGGTAAATCAAGGAGACATTTCTTGAGGGTCATGTCTTTAACATTGTTGACCTAATGGTTATTTGGTAGATCAATGCTCTCTTCCTCCATCCAATGATAAGAGAAAGTAGATTCAGTTTGAGTCTACTTTTTTTTATATATATATTGATAATAGTAGGACCATCGCTGCTAATGGGGGTTTCCTAAGAAGTTCCTTTTTTCTTTTTTCGTCTGTCAAGTTTGTTATCTATAAAAGGGTTTTGTTGCTCAGAATTCGGAAAATGTTGGTTAGAGTTGGGAAGCAGTGTCATCTACTGAAGTGGATTTTTGTCAATATTTGAATCCCTCCAGAGGAAGTCACAAAAACTGAAAATGTGGATAAATGATCACATATACTTCCTTGGTGTAGTGGGTTAATCATTTGTAGATGGTCTTCTCTGAGTGATGTAGTTACCTCACAATTTTTGGAATGTTTTTGTGTGTTTTCATTATAAATAATGGATATATTTTTTTGTTAAGGTACTCTTGGATTTACGTTTACCACTTTGTATCTATCCTTTCGATCAATACAAATTTTAACCGTTATAAAAAAAAAATAATGGATATATTTTTTTTGTTTTGAAATGATTTTCATGTGATGTAATTTAGTCCCCTTTGCGTATATAGTGCAGCAGCTTTCGGGGTTCTGAATTTCATAGGGTCTCTATTTGGGGATCTTATTGAGTCCATGATCAAGCGCGATGCTGGTGTTAAGGACTCCGGATCCCTTATACCTGGTCATGGTAAACATTCTTTGGACCTCCTCTTCTCTATTATTTGTCTTATGGAAACCATGCAGTTGATGTTCCAAGTAGTTTATCTATGGCTGATGTTTCTTAATTTTCTCAACTATTGAATCTCAAATGATCATGTCCTGTAACCTTTAATTGTACAAATGGTCAATTGTTTAAAGTTTAGTTGTCAAATAAGTAGCAGATGCATCACAAGACTGTCAAATTCTCTGTTTTTGTTTCAAATAAATTGTATAATCCTGACTACAATACTGAGACATTAGAGTATCTGCATTTTTAAGTTTTTGTGAAGATAGGCAACAATAGTTCCTGGATTAGTGCATCAAGAATGTGTAAATGATGAATTTCACTTTGGGAGATGATTTAGTTGCTATCCTTTGTAGTTATCCGCTGGATTGTGACCAAAAACGTGGGTAGCAATGCATAACATGAACTCTGTCTGGCCATCTTCACTATGGGTTGGATTAGTTAAAAACGAAGAAACCAAGTCTGCTCCCTTTCGCTTAGCTATCAGAAGTGAAAACTCGATGAGTGGAAATTTTTAGTTTAGTTTTGTAATCTATTTTGCATGGTAATGTGTTTCTCTTTTTCATAAATGATGTTAATGCTTATTTTAAATGACTACAAGAGATAACTAACTACAACAGGAGTGAAATTTATCACTTATCTAAACAGTTTGAGACCACGTTCCTTGGTGGTCTAGGGCCCAGAAAGGTGTCTTAGGGTCACAAAAACCTACGATCATGGGCATCGGGACCGAGCTGGCTCATTCCAAATAAGGTTTTGGGTTATCCCTTGTCAAGGTTGATGATGTTCTTGTGGGTTGCCGGGAGGATGATAGACTCCGGTGTGGGGTCGGCAGCTGGTGAGGGCAAGGGGCCCAAAACCTCTACGGTACCACCCCATGGTGTGGGCATGTGATAACGCAGTTTAGGAAGCCGCCTCTTCACGGATGACTTAAGGAGGACATGCACATGGGCAAAAGAGAGGTCCCCCTGACCTTGCATTATGGTGCACGTGCCCAAGAGCGGCTTGATTTGTCCTTAGTAGAGCATCTGTAATCCACACTGGAACTCTCTCAATCCCGCTACGAATGACAGACTTTGATGGACCAAGTATGAGCTCCTATATATACGACTTTGGGTGATGGGTTCTATTGGGTCGGTTTGAGAACGTGATCCATGGGTTGGGTTAGTCCACTGTGGAGTGCCTTGGATCAATTTTTTAGCTCTAGGTGCCTACTCTCTTTAGTGATGTTTAAGTAAGTCCAAATCTCTTCATTTTATAAAGAAAGTCGAAAAATGATTTTTTGATGTTTTTGGACTTGGTAAGAAATATTTTTACGAAGAAGAATTAGAGGAAGTTAACAAATTAATAAAGGACGAAGAAGGATGGGACATGTGTAGCCAAGGCACATGTGAGGGCTAAATGGTCAATGGGTCTCACATGGGCCAAATAAGCCCACAACAGGGTCCATGGGCCATATAAGCCCACAACATGGCCCATTTGGGGCCCACGGTCTGATGAATTCATCAATGGGCCCCCTTCCTCTCTCTCTCCCATTGTCATTTCCGCAATAGTGTGAAATATTGGATTTGGATGGGAATTTGGTAAAAGGGTGAACTTTCCCATTTTTTGACATTTGTTGAACATATGATGGGCATTTGGGTAATTAGTTCCATGGTAGGGACAAATGCCACAAGGTCCTTTGAACATATGTAAGTGAGCTCATGATGCCTTGGGAGTTGGGACACATGTCACCAAGGATGAGGGAATCATGGGATATTATTTCTGTTCTCTTTAGGTTAAAGGTGAGAGTGGGGAAAATAGTGAGAAACGCTAAAGGAGTGGCATGCTCCACCTCTATATGTCTCTCTCTCTCTACTAAAGTGTCATGTTCTCTCTCTAACTAATCCTATGGTTGAAAATTTGAAGTTGAATAAAATTATATTTTCAATAAAGTGATTTATTGGGGGTTGTTCTCACATAGGAGATGACCTTATACTCAAGCCTTTGCTGAGAAGAGCTGAGAAGAAGTGAGGAGCGCCGCCTCTGCTGAGCGGCAACTCGTGGGGGTGGGCATGCCCCTCCCACTGCTGTACGAAAGCTATGACCACCTTCTCAAACTCCCTTTGCCCCCCTCTTCCTCTCTCACTCTAGTGGTTCCACAACATTCTCTCACCCCTCCATCTTCCTCCACACCCATTCCGCCACCACCATCGATTCATCCTCGCTTACCTATCCGCCCTCCTAGTTTGGACCCTATTGTCATATCAATCCCAATTGAATAGATGGTGGAGCAAAAACGTATAGGGGACAACGTGTAGGTGCCTTCCATCCCCGTCGTGACGACATCAACAGTATTGAAAAATGGGGACAACGTATCTTTGAGGAACCAGATCTTGGACGCAAGAAAATACAGATGGGACCGTCCTCTTTTCCTTCCCGACAAAAAACAATGCCCTTCGAGGCTTGTATTGCCCTCCTCCCCTCTCCTTTAAGAGTGCCACTTTGGCCCTTAATGGCTGGTCTCAGGACGTCAGGGCCTTCAAGAAACAGAGGATTTGGCTCAAGTCAGCCCAACTTCCTCTACATGCATGGTGCCCTAATACTTTCAAATTCATTGGCAACGCCTGTGGCTTTCATCTCTGTTTATTGGAAGTCCTCTGAATCCTCCCCTTGGGGACTATTCAGATACTCATTGAAGTTATTGATCCTCAACTTATTCCCCATGAGCTTTGGTTGTAAGTCGAGGGGCATTTCTTACGTTCCTCAACTCTTGGGCTGCTGCCTCCCCCCTCTTTAACCGGCATGTCTCCACGACGGAACAGGGTAGGGCACCCCTAGCAGACCACAATCCCTGGATTACGGTTTCCAAACATCATGAGCACCACCCCAATTGTAGCTGCAAAAGAGCCCCCCCAACTTTCAACCTCATTATGCCACATCCCCTCTAACATGTGGATAGGCACCGCCCTCTCTAATAGCTGCTCCCTTCTTGCCCATTCTCCCTCTTCCACTTCTCCCTCCCATGTGACTCATACCTCCTCTCCTCGCCACGTCGCTCTCTCTCCCCCTCTTATTCGCCCCATTTCTTCTCCTCCCCATACATCCCTGCCACTTCATGTGCGTCCCCCTCCTGTAATTCAAATGCCATGATGCCCTAGACTATCCCCGCCCCTTCCCCTCCCGGTGCAACAAGTGCACCTATGCTAGCCATTTGTTACACTCTATCTTACCCCAGGATCGTCAACCCTTTTATCCTTCCTCTCCTTTGCCTCCTCTGCCTCCCTCGCAGCCCCATCTTCCACTTCCCTCTTCCTCTCTCCCCTCTATCTCCCCTTGACTTTGCACCCTTTCTTGCTTTGTCCCTTTTGGAAGAGGAAGCCAGTTGCTGCTCCACCGGCTACCCCTCTTTTTTGGCTATCGTGCCCCATCCCTCGTCGACCTATCTTCACTAGAGCCTTCTCCCTCCCCCTTCCCCCCCCCCCCTCTTTACAGTGGTTGGGATGTCGACCTCCCCTCCCTTCTGCTTGGTGATGCTTCTCCTTCGTTGGCCCTTTCCACACCAACTAGGCTATCGAATGACATGGGACTCTCCCCAAGACTGCTGGTGCAGACAACCTCCTCTTTTGGCTCCGCCAAGCCTCGTTAAGTACCCTATCCTCTTGCCCCCCTCCCTCCTCTTACCATTATCCCTGCCTCGCTCAGCCCCGCATCCCACTTTCTCGTTCTTTTACTTCATCTCTGCTTGCTCCCTCCTTCCCACTCATTCCTTTTTCTCCCAACTTCTATCCTTCTCCTCCATCTCCCCTCTAATCCTACCCCTTCTACCCCATGGCCCTTCCACCATACTTACCCTCTCTCTCAGCCCTCTCTTTCGGATGCCCTTTCAACCCAGCCCCTCCACCCCCACTTACCACCCAATCATCCTCCTTATCCCTCTCCCCTTTCCCTGAACCTCCTCACCTCGCGGGGCCTCTCCCTCTCTTCCCCAACCCTCTCACTCTTGGTATCCCCACCCCGCCTCCACCCCCCAACCTTTCCCTCCATATCCCATCAACCCTGTCACTCTTGGCCTACCCCAGATTCTACGACCCTATCCTCTTGCTGCCGTCCCTTGGCCCCCCTCATCTTACCCTACCTCCCATAGCCCCACCACCATTGCCTCCTTCACTGACATGCTTCCTTCGCCCCCAACCCTCCCACTTCATTCTCTCAGGATCCTGTGCCCCCCCCCCCCTCCACTCGCCCCACTGGCGTGGCTTCCACCTTTTCCTCACCTGGTGAGAAACCCTTGATACCTCCTCTACGGCATCTTTAGCATCCAACTCCTCATCCCGCACATCTCCCACCTCTACAGACTCCAGCTTTGTGGACAACATGGACACTGCTTAAGGCAACATCCGAGGAGTCCTTAAGGTGATGGGCTTTCACTATGATGACCCCGAAGGTTCTTTCCACGTTTTCTACAAGGCAAACGCCTAGACGAGACTCAACGTAAACGAGAAGTCACAAAGCTTGCATTGGAGTCAACTACGATCGTCCAACTTCTGCTCCTCCTCAGTTGGTTCCACTGTCGCCCTCGTCCCTTCCATTGGGCCCCTCCTCAGATGCTCCCATAGGTGTGTCTCCCTTCCCAACCTCCCCCCATGATTATTCTCTCATGGAATGGAAGGAGCCTCTAGCACTTTAACAAGTGCAATGTGTTCGTGACCTCAGCCTCAAACTCTGCCCTTTCATCTTGGCCCTCACTAAAACCAAATTGCCCTTTCCCTCTCATCAACTCAGTCATTAAATGTGGGGCCCAAGACCCTACCAATGGGAAGCGTTGCCTGTGGCAGGGGGCTCGGGTGGTATTTGGGTGATTTGGGACCCTACTGCCCACACCCTCGACTCCTCCCACATCGCCCTTTACTCGGTTACTGTGGCCATGACTAGAACTTCTTATCGCCTTCTGTGGAGATTCAAGGTAGTCCACTGCCCCAACCCTGAAGGTGCCAGAAACCTCCTATGGGAAGAACTCGACTTAGTGGCCTTCCTTCCCCACTCCATTTGGTGCCTGGATGGTGACAATGTTGCCCACCGGTCCTTTGTGCACAACTCTACTTCTAGCATTACTCGAGGGATGATCGCTTTCTCAGACTTCATATCCAGAAACAACTTCATACCCTGATTACTTAGTTTAACTACTACTCACCCCCTCTCTATGTAAACTTGTCGTTTCCTCTTTAACATCGAGCGGGATATAGCTTTCCCATGCTTTAGCCTTTCCCAAACCCACCTCTGACCACTGCCCCATCCTTTTGGACACCCTACTTGCTACTAGAGGACCCAAATCTCTTCGTTTTGAATTGTCTTTACTAGAGGAACCTCATCTCAACTCTCTTATTCTTTTCTGGTGGAACTCTCTCTCCCTTGGTTGTTGGAAGGGCTGGGTTTAGATTCCATGATAACTTCAACGTGTCAAGCTCTCTCTTAAAGAATGGAGTCGCCGTCTCCTAAGTAACTTCCACTCTCGGCCTCAATCCTCCAGTTAATCCATAGCCTCGACCTCACTGAGGAAGCTAGACCCTGGTCCCCTTCCGAGCTTTTCCAGAGATCCCAATTGAAACCTGACTACCAAGTGATTCTCAAAAAGAATAATTTTTTTGGTATCAAAGGTCTAAGGTGAAGTGGCTCCATATTGGGAACCTCAGTATTGCCTTCTTCCATAAAATTGCAATTGTAGGATACAGGACAACACCATCTCCCACATCAAGGTCGGAGATTGTATCTTCGATCAACCCCCTGAGGTTGAAGGAGCCATTATCGAATATTTTAAACATCTCTTCTTTGCGTTTTCTGGCCCCAGTCCTCTCTTTTCGCACTCTCCATCCTGACTAGGCCTCTTGGTTGGAACACCCTTTCTTTGAAGAGGAAATTCTTGCGAATAGTAATTCCCTTAGCCAAGACCGAGCCATGAACCTTGATGGATTCCCAGTGGTCCCTTTCAAAGTCTTCTGGAATTCTTTCCGGAACAACGTCATTTCCCCTTCTTCACTAAGTTCTATTGTAGAGGCATCATCCATAGGGCAATGCCTTGTGCCCAAGATTGAAGGAACTGAGGAGCTCAGGGAGGTTCTATCCCAAGTCATTTCCCTCACTCGAACGGCCTTCGTTAAAGAACGCCAAATTCTTGACTGAGTGTGAGGGAAGTTGCTAGGAAAAGTTGGGTGGGGGGTAAAGTGCTTAAAAAGTCTATTTCGGGGGGTGGGGGGTTTGCAATTTTCCCTTGTTTTTATATATATGTTTTTGGGGTTCTTTCTCTAGGAAAGCATAATACCCAACGCCTACCAAGCCAAGCAGCTGTGAATTCCACTCGCACCCCAAAACCCCTCTTTCTACTTCCTCTGAACTCCGAAACTCCCCTTTCAGTTATTGCATAGCTTAATCCCAAGAAGTGCTCTTGGGATCTCTAATTTATCAAGAATTTCACAAGCCTTCGTACATTTATATGGAGATCCTTCTCCTCTGAAAATGGGTAGGCCTGAGATTTATTGATTCTATGAAAATGGTGGATGAAACACAAAAAAAACCTCCAGTTCTCTATAAAATCCTTTTTGCCCAATATCCTCATGACAAGAGGAAGAACGAGATGCCAAGAAGCTTGGGCCTGAAACAAAGTGTTGAAAGAATTCACAGGCACCATTAAAACTTCAGGCTATTCGACATGAGGAACATTGCCTCTTCATGATGCTCTCTGAAAATATGAGAAAAATGCAATAGTGCCCTTATGACCCTCACATCCAAAGAAAGGGAATGCTTCCCTGGGTTCATGTAGGCTTGATTTGGTCTTGGGTTGACTATCTCTGCTGAGCATTAGTCAAGTTGTATTGGGATTTGTCAAGGGCCCTATGGTGGATGCCAACAAATCCACCAGTAACACCCCAATTTTATATATATATTATATATATATATATATATATATATTATATATATATATATATACTACTACTACTACTACTTACTTACGTTTAC